AAGGACCACACACAGATCCAGGGGCCTTACTCCCCCACCACCAAAATATCACATAACCTCGGTCCTTGTATACACACAGATGCCACCGGGGGAAGTAGAGGGTGGAGGAGGAAGGATTTGGAAAGAGTGGGCACTGTTTTGAAAGAGAATGTTTTAATCTAACACAAAGAGACAGAGATACACTTTAATTGGCAAGTTTGAATTTTCTCTAGTTACCAACAGTTGAAAAGCTGTTAGGATCAGTTTTAGAAAATAAATTTCATATGCATCTCAGTTGTGTGCACATCTCTATTTCTGCTACCTACTAGGCAGTGAATATATTTCTATGTCATTGGTCTACTATTACATCATCTCAGATGGTCACACGATATTATAATTGAGATTTTTTTAAAGTATGAGTTAAGAAATAAAAATGTCTTTTAAAAGGAAATAGAAGTATCTCTTTATAGGGTAAATACCATTTGTCTCCATATTCTCAAAATCTCCTTACTACCTGTTAGTTCCTGGTAAGTCATGCACTATAACTCGAAAAAGCAGTTTAGCTCCCATTTTAAGTTTGTTACCATTCTAATCAGAAGTCTAATGCTTTATACCTCTTTCAGAGGTGACCTGATATCATCCTGTTGCATCAGGATTATGGCTGTGAAAATGAGTTCTGGTTTTATTATGGATTCAGGCTATCCCTACCACACATTTATCACCATATTTTATTTTTCTTCCTTTTTTTCCTTTCCCTTTCTGTTTTCTGCCTATTACAGGGTGGGATAGAGGGAGTACAAAATGCCCAGGCTCTTAATTTAGGCAGGAGAGAAAACTGCTTGAAATCACAAATACATGAAATTAACCTACCCTTAAAACTCTTTGTCACCAAGGAGACCAGAACATGAACTATCTACATGGAAATTCAAATGATTTTTTTTTTGCTTTAAATCATCATCACTTATTACTGAATGTTGATTTGGCCAAGGAAGGATGAGTAAAAATAAATAAGAAAAAAAGAAAAGAAAGAAAGAAAGAAGGAAAGAAAGAATGAACTAGCCTCACACTAGAGAATTACTAAGGACAATTATAGTTGTTCTGGTTCTTAGAATTACATTATTCCAGCGAGTGGGAAAATACCCCAAGAGAAAAATTTTCCCCAATTTGGAATTTCTGATGGAATTATCTAATGACATAGCTCCATAAATGCTGCAGAAATAGAGAAAGATAATCTCTAAAGAAGGCCTCTCTCACTCAGAAGCATCAAGGGGTGATGCAGATGGTATGGCTCATGGCTATCCACCACTCCAGCTGCAAGGAAGAGATGGCTCCTATGCAATGTCTCGTCCCAGTTATGGGCCAGAGATATCGCTAACAACCATTCTGGGTATATCACTTTATTGTGCCTATTACACACAACTGTTTTAAATATGTGTAGTGAAATCAACAGACTTGTATTACATGCCACGTAAACAGAAACAGGGGAATCATCCAAATGTTTAAACTAGGTAAGTCGGAATATCTCCTAGTCACCAATATATTTTGCAAACCTATGGGTATACTCACTTAGTTGATCAAATACTCAGTCGAGAGGCCACCCAAATGGTGTCTTATAAATAGTAGGTGTTAATCTTTAATAAAAGATTAAAACTCCCTGGCTGGCGTAGCTCAGTGGATTGAGCGTGGATTGTGAACCAAAGTGTCACAGGTTCGATTCCCCGTCAGGGCACATGCCTGGGTTGCAGGCCACGGCCCCCAGCAACCACACATTGATGTTTCTCTCTCTCTCTCTCTCTCTCTCCCTCCCTCCCTCCCTCCCTCCCTCCCTTCCCTCTCTAAAAATAAATAAATAAAATCTTAAAAAAAGATTAAAACTCAATAAAAGTTTTAATATGTAATAAAATAAGTCAATAGAAAGCAAACAACTATGACCAGCATGTATAAAAACAAAATGATGAATGGCATTGTTTACTTGGAAGTTTAAACAATTTGAACTTTATGCAGTTTTGTTTGTTTGTTTTAGGACAGATCTTGGTGACTGGTTGGATATGGAAGGAAGGAAAAAAGAGTGTCAATAGCACAGCCAGCTCAGAAATATAGGCTTTGGTTCCTGGGAGCCATTTTCATCAGCTAATCAATATATAACCTTGTTTATGTGTGTTCCTACTTAAAAACACCTTATTTAATGTATATTGTTGATTCACTAACACTGAACTCACAGCCAACAACACTGTAACACATGCCTGAATGACACTTATATAACACAAATTTTCTCCACATCACACACTTCTTGCATGTAGGAACACTAGACAGCACTTCACTATGCTTCAGGATCATTTTTCCAATGAAATCACCAGCAAAAAAGCATAAAAATGCAAAAAAAATGTCACTAAATAGACTATGAAAAGAATACTTGTTCCCAGTATGAGTGCTAAAACAAGAAGGCAGAATGTTGCTTTGTCTGACCTCAGCTGAGAATGTGTGTGGGTAGTGACTTAAAACCTTTGCCTCTCTGCACATGCTCATAAACGACCATGAAAGCACCATGAATATTGATTTGGGGTTACAAATGAATTTTAGCAAGTAGATAAATTTGCAAATACAAAATCCACAAATGATGAGGATCAACTGTATTTGCCAACTATAGAGAAATACTTTTATTTCTCTATGATGTTGCTTCTTACTATTCCACTGCATTTGCCTGGTTTCTTTTGTGTACCTATAAAGCTCCTATTCTTCTTTTTAAACCCTGCTCAGGAAATAATGCCCCCTGCCCCCCTCCCACTAACTTCTCCTTGCTGTTTCCTTTGCTTCTTACACTTATCTCTATTTTGCACAAATAAGATTATTGAACTCATCCACTGGCCTGTGAAATTCATTGAAGTCAATGACCATGTCCTATATATGTATATACCAGTTACCATGCTTACTATGTGCCAGGCTATATGTTAAAAGGTACTTTGTATACTCTCCCCATGTTACAGTTGCAGAAACAGAGGACCAGAGCAGGTGTGTCACTTGCCATATAACAAGCTACAAAGTTGGTTTCCAAACCAAAGCCCAAGCTTTTAATGTTATCCTAAATAAATAGTATTAGCTACCACATATTACTGACTGCTTATTATGCGCCAGGCATGGTGCTAAATGCTTTACACAAATTATCTCATTGAATCTCCTTTATGCATCTCTGTGTCTCCAACACAGAGCAAAGTGCATGACACACAAATGTTGCTTGCATTGAATGTATTTCTTCCTGCTCCCAATCCTTTCTAAAACCATAGCATGAGAACTCCGTGTATTTCCAGCAGTGGCCAAAATGACTTTCAGTGTCGCAGCACCCTTCTTCCCACTGAGTTCCTTCCCTCCCTCTCATTTGCATTCTTCTGTGATTTTGCTGTGATGTTTACAATGGTCACAGAACAAACTTCATCAAGCAATGGAGAAAAGGGCAAAACATTATCCACTTGAACAAAATTTTTCTCTGTGAAAATAATTTCTAGTAGTGATTTATATCATGATCTAAATCCTTATGGAGTAACAGAATCATGGAAGAGCTTAAGTGTTTAGCTTGAGGGTCATGAGGTAAATACTGTATGAAGCTAAATGAGGATTTTGTTCCCTAGTGTAGCTTCAGATTTCAAATCCGTAGAACTTCTCACACTGAATTCAAAATAGGCAGTCAGTTTTAGAGCTGAGAAAGTAAAAGTAAGGTTTTGGAAAAATAAGGAATAGGCTGTAGAAAGTTTGCAAGACAGGAACTGCAGGGCTCACATAACATTACATGAATGAATGGAATTGAGGGAGCCTAACTCTAGGGTTAAAGTCAAACTTATTCATCTTCTTTCAATGGCAAAAGTATAAAGTAGACAAACTTTGATACTTCTTTCCACTTTTCTCTTCCTGCTCTTTCCTCATGAGAATTCCAAATACAAAAATTAATTATTCTCAGCACTCCAGACAGGGAAACTGACCTGAAAGACAGAATCCTAATTGCCCTAAAAGTCCTCATTTTTCTCCCAGTTTTATGTTATGGTTTTGTTATTGGTTACTACGGTAGCTAGTAAAAGAAAAGAATCTCTAAGCGAATTCCAAAACCAAGGTCTAAGCCAAAGGAAGTAAAGCAAATGCCTTCTGGGGCCAGGCAACACCTGTATGAGTGAAATTACCAGAGAACTCTCATCTTCAGTAGCCAGAGCTCAGCTCCAGTACATTTATAGTTGCCAGGAGGAACAAACTCTTCTGTTGCCAGGCATTTCATCTTTTCAAGAAACGACATAATCCTGCATTTTTATGTGTAATCTCTGGGCAATTCTTTAAAAGATAAAATGAAAACACAGTGCATGCCAAACAAACTTGTTGGCCTTATGCAGTGGGAGATACCAGTTTGCATTTTCTGGCCAGATGAGTCCCAGTAGCTTATGGGATATCTAGGGATGCCTTTCAAATTAAATCATTCCTCCCCCCTCAAAATGATAGTCCTGGAAGCCATGCTCTAAGCAAATATCTCCCTCCTGCTGTGCCCCTGGCCTCCTCCTAATGGGCCCTGCATCTTTTGATTTAAGTACTTGTTTCAGAAACTGACTTACAGGCCTCTGCAAACACCCTCCAGTCCGTCCTGCGACTGGGCGATCTATGTGACCTCTGGTGGCCAGGGAGCTGGCTGCAGCAGGTCTCAGCGTGTGCCTGGGGACTACTCCTGGAGGGCGCTCTTATCTCCTCCTCGTTTCCCAGCAAGCATTCCTACCCTCTCCACATTTCTTTTGAAGATGTTTCCCTTTCTTTTCTTTTTTCTTGTCTCCTCTCCCAGTTCTTTTGTCTCGACCTTTTCTTTCCCCCTCTTCATTCTTTTTCCCTTCTTTCTTTGCTGTTCTCTTCCTTCCTCTATTTTCTCTTCTGTTCATTCTCTCCTCTCCACCCTTCTCCTCTCTCTATTACTGGTCTTTCCTCTCCTCCCCATTCCTTACGTTATTTTCCCTCTCCCAGCACCCCCGAGACCGGGGAACTTGGGAGAGCTCGCTCACCAGGAATACACCAACACCGGCTTCGAGTATTTCTTGTGATGGGAACGCAGGGTGAGGGAGCCCTTGCGCTCCAGCAAGTCGGTGGGTCCGAGCTCAAACCCGTATTGCCTACTGCTGCACAAGTCCTGGTAAGAGCGGTCAAATCTCGCCATGGTCGCCCCCCAGATACAGACTTTAAAAGATTTCCCTCTGCATTTGTTCTGCCCCCAACCCACAAAGGGTGAGATTCGGCGTCTCCCATCTCCTAAGCAACTTGGGGCGGGGGGGCAATGGTAGGTTGGATCGCTCAAACGTCATAGCCTTTGGTTTCCTAGACAGTGTAGGGGCAGAGTCCAGGGAAACTACATTTCCCAGAAAACCACAAGAGAAGGGTCGGACTACCGAGAGGGAAGAAGAATCATCTCCATCTTGGGACTTGTAGTTTCGCCCGCCCAATCTCCTGAGTGGCTGGGCGGAGTTTAAGGGAGGTCGGCAGGTCAGTCAAAGGCTAACGGGGCCTGACCCCAGAGAGGGGTCTGTTCCGGATATCCTTGCAGAAATTCCTCTTACCATTCACCATCTGTTGCCACCGTACCTATTGCTTACAAGGTTGATTAAAGGGAGCAAGATAACTCTTAAATACGTCATTTCTATACAGCTTTTCTAACTGAAAGAGGAGGAGCGGATCATTCAGCTAAAGTGCGAGGATGAAAAGGCCTGGCTGGTTCCATCCAGTTTAAGCTGCTTTATCAACCTTTCTGAACACGGGTTTCTTTGAAAAAGTGAAGGATGGAGTGAGATAGTGGAGGGGATGGGGTGGGCCTAAGGATCTGAGGTCTCTTCAGATTATAGGTACAGTTTAGGGCTCGGGGCATTCGGCTCCCTAAGACTTGCCAAGTTCTTAATTGAAAACATTCTATTTGTAGTGACAACCCAAATTCATCACGTTATTGTGTTGTGAGTTATATGCGAGGAAATCTCAAAATGATCATCTATGACATTGTCTTCAAGAAATTATTGGATAGATGTCTTTTTAAAATATATATATTTTAAAGATTTTATTTATTTATTTTTAGAGAGGGAAGGGAGGGAGAAAGAGAGAGAGAGAAACATCAATGTGCGGCTGCTGGGGGCCCTGGCCTGCAACCCAGGCATGTGCCCTGACTGGGAATCTAACCTGAGATGCTTTGGTTTGCAGCCGGAGCTCAATCCACTGAGCTACGCCAGCCAGGGCTTGGATAGATGTCTTATAGAAGGAAAATGCTTACTTCATTTTGACTTTCCAAGTAAAAAATAATTAACACATCAGAATTCTCCCACAACCTTCGTTGAACACCTTAAGGGCATTAATGGACTTAATCATGGCAATCCCTTTTACCTGGCACAGTGCTTTAGTACAAGGTGTCATTTCAGATTGTTGAATGAATGAATGAATATTGTTTGATTATTTTACATTTACTTGGGCTTCCATAAATCCCAGAAGTGCCTTACTTTAAGAAAACCACATGTAGAAAAGAAGAAAAAGAAGACCACATAGATCACATGTACTCAAAAATTCAAATTTAAAAACAAATTTAGAGATTTCACTTACAAATAGATTCTCTAGTTTGCAAAAGATTTATTATTGCACTCCTATAAATAACGTGGTGCTTTTCTGAATTGGTTTTCATAAATTTGATTACACACAACTATTAAGTGCTTTTCTGTGGCCTGTGGTGCCCAGTGTGGGTGCCTGTGGTACCTAAGACTCCTATTTTACAGGCAGCTACAGCTGAGCCATGTTATTGAAAAGCAGACCAGCTAAGTGCTAGTAGAGTGCTGACCACTACTCTAGCCCTTCTTGAAGGAATGAAAAAAAAATTAACTTTAAAAGGGTAAATAAGATCCATGTTAAGCTCAGTCTGAACAAAGCACTGGATGCATATTGCTATTGCTTCAAATATGAGCACCATTGCTATCATGTTTGTTTGTGTGTTTATTTTACTCATGCTAAAAGTGGTGGCAACATAAAAAAAATGTCAGGTATGTACAGCCAATTTCATGTAGAGACAGAGCTGCCCAGAGCCAAAACCTTCTGTGTTGCATGGGTGCTGCAGAGATTTAAAAGCTTTCAACCCACCAACTAGCAGTAAGTTAAGAAAACAACAAAAGATAGCTTGTTATTTTAGTGTTTCTTAAGCTAAGCTGACAATCTATTTGAGTCTACAAATATGCTCTATTGTTATACTACTCTCTTTCCCCTTATAACAGCTTCACAAGCTTTATTGTCTTCTGTGTCTACTAAATACTTTTTAGCATCCTCATGTTGAAATATAGGAGACTAACTCTTTGGTACCCTCAAATTCAGATGCTTTCCATTCTCTTTATCTACACCAGGACATTCTGTAGAATTTTGGGTTTGTTTATTCCTTATTGATAAAATAGGAAGAAAACAGTATTTATCACAGGAGAGTTTTATAAAAATTACCTAAGACAACTATTGTATATTGAAAGTGGGTGGAACATTGCATAATAAATATTCAGCCCTCAATTAAATTTCAATTACTACTGCTATTATTACCTCCTAACTTTGTCTTTATCATTTGGGAAAAGCACCCTCAAATATGATTTTTTGGGGGGTGAAATATCCTAAGTATAGTCACTGTTTTTCAAGCTTTGCTTGTTTACGAGGTCTGTTTAATGAGTATCTTTATAATATTCTAATATGAAACTTAATAGTCTGAATCAGAAAAATGTTGGTAAGATATCTGTAAGATATCTGTTGGTAAGATATCGGTAAGATATGTTGCTGGTGATCACAATGGTTTTGTATTCATATAGAATCTTTTCATTTCAAAATCTTTAATAAGTTTTATGCTCTATAAATGTGAAATCACTGATCCTCAACACACTTGACTTATTCTTATTTTCCTCAAACTTCATCAAAGCAATGAAGTACAGGACTTAAAGCAATGCCTTCTATTTGTATTAATCTCTTTTCATCATAATAGCCTTGGGATAAGAAAATTATAGCTCAGGTGGCTCAAACAGGGCTTTTCTGCAGGATAAGTGCAAGCAGACCAATTCAAGAAATAGGAATCTCATCATCTGAGCCTAGCCTAATACAGTTCTTGATTAGCACTATCAGAACCCTAAAGAGGTTGCCCAGCAGACCAGAGCAGGACAGCAACCCTAAAATAGATGTAAATGAGCCAGTGTAAATGACCACAGAGGCAAACCTCTTCAATTCTTTTCCTCTCCTGTCTTAACAGTTTGCTCAATTCCCATAAAAGCCTCTGCTCAGAACCTTCCAAAGTCACCAACAGCATGTTCTCCCATTTCTTCTCTCTACTAAATGTCATTCATTTAAGTGGAGAGACAAAATTTTTAATTATATAAGAAAATTAATTTGTATTGGCTTCTTTTGAATCTAGTTTAAATATATTAGAAACTTGTATTTAAAGTTAAAACTAAGTATTTATGTCCTGATCAAGGACTGCATAGCCTCCTGTTACCCACTATGTATGCCTCTGGGGCTCCACTTTTGAATATTTTATATGAAAAAGTGGGCATCCATCTGCTATGTCAAAACAAATAAGAAGTATCTGGTTATCCGTTCCCTTCCATGCCCTACTCCTTCTCTTCTTCTTGTCTCCTTTCTTCTTTGTTTCCTCCGTCCTCCTTTGAGACATGATATGGATATTTGAGTTAGAATCTATCGATGCAATTCTAATACAATTCAGAGTTATATGAAAACTATGAAAGAAAAATAATAAAACCTACAAACCAGGGCCAAAATTTTTATGAATAAACTCATATTTAACAACCCAGTTTAACAACCCAAAAAGGAGTCAATTCTGACAAAAGCTTCCATCTTCTTCCCTTTCTGTTAACTATTCATTACTACCAACTGCCTCTTTTAGCAAGGTTTTAACCTTGAGTATGACTCCTCTCTGCCTCTACTTTGGATTGCAAACCTATCAGGCTTTGACTTGCTCTCAGGACATTTTTATTAACTAGTATTGATTAAGTGCTGTTATGCAACAGACAGTTCTGGAACTTGTACTATCAGCATGGGGAATTAATTTATTAAATATTCATCATATTATTCTATAATTCAGCACATCCCTATTTTGATATCTAATCCAGCCAATAAGTGAAACTCTTTGGCAGAATTATCCATAATTTTCTCAGGAAAACTTTCACATCCTGGATTGGTAATGACATGCTGTAACATAAATGTGGAGTAGGGATTTCTTTAATACCCAACATGTTGGATATCCTTAATTATTCAAAGACTGAATATCCATTTTCACAAATGATCTAACCCCTTGATTTCTTCCTTTTCTTCCCTGTGCTGCTTTGGCACCTTCACTGTTTGTTATCAACAAGAATGAGACAATTCAGCTACCAGTTAATAGTTCTAATGGAAGGAGTTTGTGCTTGAAATTAAGCTCATTATTGTTGTGGCTTTCTTTATTTCTCCTGGTTTTTAATCTGAATAAAGGAACATTTTCTCCCAGGGAAGAAGCTCAAAAGAAATAATTTGCATCTGGGCTCCTTTCTTCTCCTGGTGATGGTGGACATTTTCCCACATTCCCCATCAGACCCACCCCCAGCTGCACAGTGAGCAGGCAGGTAAGGAATTGACTAAAAGGCTTCTCCCAGAGAGTCAGGTGTATGCAGGGGGTTTCTGGTTTTTGTGTAGCCCAAGCACACAACTGAGGGTGCCCAAAGTCCCAGTCTGAAGTAAAGGAGGGGAGCTGAGGGGAAAGCTGGAAAACTTTGTGAACCTTGAAGGACTGTCTGAGCTTTGCATGATTTTGCATTTCCCATGTTCAGTTGGCATGTATTAGATTTGTGGTGCCATTTCCTGTGTTAGGTATCTTTCTTTAGCATCATATTTAGGTTGCTTTAAACTAGAAAGGTTTGAACTATTTCAGAGGGATCTGAATAGCTGGGAGGTGGCTAAAAGTAACTCAAGGATGAGGGAGGACCCAAATAAACCCAGAATTTATTTATAAAAAGTTGTGTATTTATTCTTACACATTTAAACTTCAGTTACCTTCAAAGTACTCTCCATCTGATGCAATACACCTAGTGAGACATTTTTTCTCCACTGCTCAAAACAGTTTTTGAACTTGTCGATTTTGATGCCTTTTAGTTCTGCCTTTTTTTAGTTTCACCTCTTCCACATCGGCAAAACATTTCCCTTTGAGGACTTCTTTCAAAC